TTAGCTCTTGATATAATTTGTGCGTAGATCACCTGTCCTGTCCAACATTTACTTCGACGACGACTCCAAGCTTTACGTCGCAGTTCTCAGCGGCTTGAGACACAGTCCTTAGGTTGTCCTCGTCGTCAACGCACACGGAAATGTCGGCATCTCTCGCCAGGGCCGCGAGTCTTAGCAGCTTCGGCAACCCTATTACCTGTGCAGCGAAGAAACAGACGATGATAACACAAGGCACACGTGTGAGCCCATGCAATCCTTATTCAGAAGATATAAAGATACATGTACGCACTCGTTTTGGTGTAGCATCGGAACTCATGCATCATGCATGCTAACATATGTACGTATAGCCAATATGTATGATTTTATATTTAGGATAGTGTTTGGCTGGAAAATATTTCTCATTTTATATAGTCGTTAAATTAAACACACAGTGCCACCTAGTGACAAAAATATTTACAATTGCAAAGTATGATTACAATAATTATTACAGCAACTAGAAAGTTCCTTGATTGAAGTTGAGAAAGTTGACTCAGTGTCATAGTTGGCATTTGCAGTTGACAACACTATATATATTATCATGGAACACGATTCATGATTGTAGATTAGAATAAATATATTGTATAATTATATGCAAACCTGATTGGAAACCAAAATGTTTTTTATTCCGCCAGCTACCATACTCTCAGCCTCTGTCAGTGTCTGACAGCAGATTCCCACTGCTCCATGTGCAACCTGGATTAGAAATTTAACTTGTGGTATAGTCGCTATTACACATATAGGCTTAGGGTACATGTACACTACACGGGTAGATCTGTATTTGCACTAAACCTGGTATAATATATACATATCTACCATTTTTACCTGTCAATGAGCAAGTAGTGATAGTGTTGGTTATTGAGTAAAGTGTGAGCAAACCAGCCAACATGGGCCTTGCATGTCATGCACACGCAGTAATACACGCAAGCACGCGTATATTTTGCACGGACATAACTCGGCAGTTCTGTAATCAGTAGCGGTTTGTAAGAAGAATTGGAGGGTAGGAGAAGATACAAATATCCTTGATCCAATAATCCAACTATAGGGGTTACAACCACGATCTTGTTTGCTAATATATTTGCATCTAGCCTCTAGGGGAAAGGGCAGCGATGTGGATATATAGACCATTCAAATTTCAATGTTTTCCCCATGCAGCATGCGTATGTCCCTTCCCAGCAAAAAGTCATATATGCACCTCCAGGCCGCTATAGTATACCATAGATATCCTATATACAGTGTATATCGGCATAGATAACTAACTGTCCAATGTTATTCAAAATTGCCAAAAGCTATCTATGAGCTATGCAAACCAAGCGGACCATATAGTTTGTTGCAAACTTGAGTTAGTGGCGCCTCCTTGCAGCCAAAAATGACACTACCTAAAGCTAAACCATATACACACAGTTTATAAATGCGATTACTATGACCAATCACTACTCTAGGCGAAGTTATAAATCATAGATTCAAATTGACAGGAGATTTCTCTGTTATAAACCTATGAACAAATTTACGGCTGTGCATATTAATGCTCATAGGGTCTATGTCCCCCAGGGTACTGCCGGAACGTACCCTGGGTACGGTCCGGTATACCGGAACGTAACCTGGTCACTATTTAATATGGTTAGGGTTAGGGTTAGGGTTAGGGAGTAGGCGTAGGCGACTCCCTAGACTCGTTAGTAGAGTAGGCGAGGTACGGTCCGGCATATTAGATAGTACCAGGGTACGTTCCGGGAGTACCCCGGGGGACATAGACCCTCTCAGCCATATTAATTAGGCCGTGGCTACGCGACCGGTTCCGGACGAGGAGCCGCTAGGCTACGCGTCCAGACATCCATCAAACACAGTGATCTTGTGACACCTACACGTATGATTGCGCAACGGGACGCTCTGCTGATTGCCGAGTGTGTGTGTATGTGTGTGTGTATGCGTGAGAGAGAGCTAGAGGTGTGTGTGCATGCACGCGCGCGCGTGTGTGTGTGTGTGTGTGAGAGAGAGAGAGAGCTAGAGGTGTGTGTGCATGCGCGCGCGCGCGTGTGTGTGTGTGTGTGAGAGAGAGAGAGAGCTAGAGGTGTGTGTGCATGCGCGCGCGCGCGTGTGTGTGTGTGTGTGAGAGAGAGAGAGAGCTAGAGGTGTG